GTATACACTTTCTATGTTCAAAGTGCCTTGCTTTGTCTTGCAAGGTACAAAACTCCTCAAACGCAGTAATGAGGGGATTAAAATTTAGAATAGTGGTTGAAGAGGATAAATTAATTACATGGTATCTGAGTTTTGCTTTGAAATAATCCTACAGGAGGTGGAGGGAAGTTGGAGGTATAGAAGAAGCAAACATGGGGTGATGGAAACATTGAGGTTCATTATACCATTCTTCCTACTTTTGTGTATTTTTGAAATTTTCCATAATAAAAATTAAAAGAAAGGAATAATGGTGGAATACATTGTAAGAAATCATCTAGCTGCTTGAAATAAATTTGTTTCCTGGACAAATGAAGTAAATGAAGTAAATCCATTCCACTTCCAAGTAGGATTGCACAATTCCTGTCAGAGACTTTTGGAGGACACGTGCAGTAGGAAGAAGTTTGGAACGTTGGTCATGTGCAAATGATTTTCTAATTTTGCAAAAGTCAGGGTGGTAGTCAGTTTCTTTCTGTCACTTCAAGCTGAGACTTGAGGAAAAGAAGGGAAATTTGCCAATTCATGTAATTCATCAGTCCAGGGGCAATCAAATATGGCCATACTAGGGCCCATATCCCTGCCCCCGTGTTGGCTTAATTCTCAGGCAGGCTCTTTCAACATGATACCTGTAGGGGGTTAAATAGTGTACCCCCCAAATTCATGTCTACCCACAACCTCAGAATAGATCTTGTTTGGAAATAGGGTCTTTGCATATGTAATTGGTTACGTCAAGATGAGGTCATACTGGATTAGAGTGGGCCCTATTTCCAGTGATTGGTGTCCTAGCAAAAAGAGGAGAGGACACTTCAACAGAAGAGAAGCATACACAGAGAAGGCCATGTGAAGAGAGAAGCAGAATGGAGTGATGCTGCTAAAAACCAATGAATGCTGGTCTGCTGGGAGCCACCAGGAGCAAGAAGAAGCAAGGAAAGATTCTTTCCTAGAGCTTTCAGAACGAGCTGGACTCTGCTGCCCTCTTTTTTTTTGTAACTCTCCTACTTCTGCTGGCCTCTTGATTTTGGATTTCTAGCTTTCAGAACTGTGAGAGAATAAAGTTCTGTTGTTTTTAGCCACCAAGTATTTGGGAATTTGTTACAGAGTCCTAGAAAACTAATATTAATACCCTTGGCAACTCCAGGATGGCCACCCCAGAGGAAAGGAAGAAACTTTTTCTCAGTATTTCTCAATATTTCTCAATCAGAATTCCTGAGGGAAGATGCGATCTTTGTTTCTTGGCCTCCTTGGACCGTGTGTCAATCCTTGAACCAGTTACTGTGGTCAGAGGGAAACAGTGCTCTGATTGGCCAAATATAAGTCCACTGAGGAGCCCTATCCCAATTAATTATATGGTATCTGAGTTCTGAGGTTAGCCTATCCCAACCACATAGTGGAAGAGTGGACCTCCTCTTACCATAAGGAGGAATGAATAAAGAGTAGACAAAATTAACACCAGTCCATTACAAAGAGAAAAAGTTGATTCTGCAAACTATATTTACCCAGGAATAGATTTTTAAAGATATAAAGGAAGTAGAGATTTCTCAGAATAAGTCAGGGCCAGGGCAATCAAATTTCCTTTTATGGCAGGTCCCTGAACTGACATCACAAAGATGTACTCGATAGTCTGTTGGCAAACTGGGTCTTCAGCAGGGCCTTTAATAATCTCTGCCATGAGATCCTTATGGGTAAAATGAGAAAAATGAGTTGGATGATAATACAATTAAGAGGAAAATTAACCTGCTAAATGACTGGAGTGAACCTCTGCTATTATATTTGTCCCCTCAATATGCAATCCCTTATTTTGGAATAATTTTCTAAAAATAATACAATATTAGAGGACTGTAGTGCCCTGGCTCCCACCGGGAAGCAGAAAGAAGATTCTCCTTTTCACTTCCTGGCAGCTAGGACTGAAGTGTGTGAATTGGGCCCAGCCACTCTCACCAAGGACTTTGAATTTTTAGGGGATGATGCTAAGAGGCAAGGGTAGTGTGGAAAGTATACATGTTAACAGCAGCAGCAGCTTGAACAGTCTTGAAGTGGTGGTGTTGAGTATTCACTGGCAGTGGTAGCCATGGCCAAGCCATGCTGTAAGTGACTGTTTTGCAGTCAGAAACACCGATTGGCACAATGATTGTATTTAAAGGATCCAAGTCAACTTGTAGGGTGTTTCCACTGTTTCAGGGCTCTGTCTTCAGCCCTGCCTTTTAGTTTAACATGAATATCAAAAAGTAAACATTGTGTTAGAAGGCATCTATGAAAGTATGATATTTGGAATTATGAAGGTAACTGAGGATCCTGCTCTCATTCTGTCGCTTGGACCCCAGCTGGAATGCTGCATCCAGTCGTGGGCACTAGTCTTTCTTTCTTTCTTTCTTTCTTTTTCTTTCTTTCTTTCTTTCTTTCTTTCTTTCTTTCTTTCTTTCTTTCTTTCTTTCTTTCTTTCTTTCTTTCTCTCTCTCTCTCTCTCTTTCTTCCTTTCTTTTTCTTTCTTTCTTTCTTTCTTTCTTTCTTTCTTTCTTTCTTTCTTTCTTTCTTTTTCTTTCTTTCTTTCTTTCTTTCTAGATTTTATTTATTTATTTGACAGAGAGAGAACAAGCAGTGGGGAGAGAGAGAGAGAGAGAGAGAGAGAGAGAAGCAGACTCCCCACTGAGAAGGAAGCCCGAAGCGGGGCTGGATCCCAGGACCCAGAGATCATGACCTGAGCTGAAGGCAGATGCTTAACTGACTGAGGCACCCAGGTGCCCCTGGGCACTAGTCTTTTATGAAGGAAACAGGCAGACTGGAACCTGGTCGAAGAAGAATGATCAGGACAGGGCAGGAAATCAACCATAAAGCATGATGAACAGTAGGAATGGGAGCCAGCACATTGCCTGCCTCTGGAGAAGGGGGACTTGGTGACATGCACGCTTGGATCTCAGATTCCCTAAGGACCGGTGCCTATTATTACCTCCTTTCTACGTGGGAGTGTCTACTGTGATTTTTCTGTCCTGGTCTTTCCATTGTATATCAGATGTATGGGTGGGGGGTAGGTAACTTACAGAAAACTTGCAAGTTTAGTACCAATACTTTTTTGGATTGAGAGTAAGCTTCTGACATGATGTCATATTACCCCCCAAATCTCATATGTATATTTCTAACATAACCACAATACAACCATCAGAATCAGGAAATTAACATTGATACAATAGTATCATCTTATCCTTAGTCCCCATTCAAGTTTCACTGGTCATCCTCAAAACATTTTACAGCAGAAGGATCCACTTCAGAATCAGTGTTGCATTTAGTTGTCATTTCTCTTTAGTCCCCTCCAGTGGGGAACAGTTCCCCAGTCTTTCCTTGACTGTCATGAACTTGATATTTGTTAAGATTTCAGGATGGTTATTTTCTAGAATGTTTCAAAATTTGGATTTTTCTAATGTTTCCAATTGAAATTGTAAGGATTTTGTGGAGGAGATACTTTGAAATTATGTAAATATCTTGTTATCATCAAATGTTCATTTCTTTATTTATATCAGTATGAACTCATGGTTTCTTATTTTGTTCAATTGGCTGTAAACTGTTCCTATCAATATTTATTTTCATGCTCAAATTGTTCCAGACTTGGCCAATGGGAGCTCCTTCAAACTGATTTATGTGTTATTTTGACACATACTCACTATTCTTTGAGCCCTTCTTACTTTTTGGTATATGATTTTCTAGGCTCATCTTGTAATATCCCCGGTCCATTCCTGAAATCAGGCTTTTCTCCAAGAATATTTAGTTCCTTTTATTGGAAAATGCTGTTTAGAAACCAAGATTTGAGTGTTAGATATGCTCATTGCTATTGGGAAGTTTCTGCTCCCAGCACTTCTCCCAGGTATTTACTCATATTTACATGTAAATATATACACACACACACAAACCCCTATATTTATTTCATTATCTATCTATATATTGAAAACCATGAATTCACACCAATTTCTCTAATTCCAATAAAGCGTCAAAGAGTTCATTTTAGTTTTGTCCTTATCTATATTTGTAACTCCCTTCTCTGACAGTCAGAAACTTAGGTGACTCTCATTAGCCATATATATAGTTACTTCTTTTTTGTGTGTGTGTTTTGTTGTTGTTGTTGTTTTTAAAGATTCCATTTATTTATTTGACAGAGAGAGACACAGTGAGAGAGGGAACACAAGCAGGGGGAGTGGAGAGGGAGAAGCAGGCTTCCCGCTGAGCAGGGAGCCCGATGCAGGGCTTGATCCCAGGACCCTGAAACCATGACCTAAGCCGAAGGCAGTCGCCCAACCAACTGAGCCACCCAGGCGCCCCTATATAGCTACTTCTAATCAGTCTCCCTGTATTTAACAATCTCCTCATCCCACTTGGGCTCTAATACCCTGGCCTGCGCTGCCCTAATTCACTAGTACCCTAACCACCCATGGATGCCCTCTACTCTGCTTGGGCTTTGACACCCTGCACCCTGTACCCTACTTAAGGCTGCCACCCTCCCCACGCATCACCCCATCCTCTCTCTTCATTTGGTTGGGCTTTGACACACTGTCTATAAGATTTAGACTCCTACCTTGCTCATCCCTACCTAATGGCTTTTGGACTGAATTGCTCAGGAAGAGGATGAAGGGAACTTGTTTTATAGTTTGCAGGACTCTGAACCTGAGGAATCATCTGGACCTGATTTAGATGATGAAATTCTTGACCTGGAGCCTGAGCCTGAAGTCTTAATAGGCTCAGCCTTTGGAGGATCTGGGAGGAGATTAATGTATTCTACATGTGGGGAAAATCCAAATAAGTTGTGGCCACTGGGCAAACTACAGTGGTTTAAAAAAGAGGGCTGCAGATTCTTTACTCCTCCACCCAAAAAGAGGAAGACACATCTACTCCCTTTGAGTTTAGACTGCCCAATAAGTTAACTAAAATACCCAAATGAGTGATACTGAAGGCTGGGCCTTACGGGGTTTGCATCTTCTTACCTTGTCTTTAAATGCTCCTTCTTGGAACTCACCCTCCAGTTTGTGAGGCAACCCAAGCAGTCATGTGAAAGGCCTTTATGGAGAGGTCCGAGTGGAGAAGAGCCAAGGCCCCTGACCCACGACCATTCTAAGGCAGCCTCTAGCCCGCACAAACTGCCCACCGTGTGAGGGAAGCCATTTTGGAACTTCCAGCTGTGCCTGGGCCCATGTGAAGCAGAACTGCCAGTCAACCTACATGATTAGGAGAAAGAAACTGTTAGTTTGAAGACACTAAGTTTTGGGGTGGTATCTTATGCAGCAACAGATCCTTGAAATAACGGTCTACCATGTGCCAGGCACTATTCCATGTCCTTCTGATCTACTGAGGTGAAAGAGAAATGTAAACTGACAGGTGCAGATAAGGGCGCAGAGGAAATGCCGCTAACCAGCCGAAGGCAGCCCGCAGGGAGAAGCAGGAGCTGGGTGGCTCTGGGCAGATCAGCACTGAACACGCAAACTACAAAACCCAGATTTCAGTTTTTGACCAGTCAGCCCTGCAACTTCCTCTCCAGGTATTTCCTCTGATGCGGATTAGTTTCCACCTGACAAAGTGGAAAGGGGGAAGAGGTGGCGAAGGTTGCCTTGGGTCTGTCTCTCTGTTTCTAAGACCAGTTCCTGTTTGGACAGCTGCAGAATATTGTTCTGAATGTTTCTGACCTTCTAGACCTTCTGAAGCAAAAAATTTATGGATTGTAGGCACCTCTAGATGTGGGTGGGGGTGCTGATAAGGCTGGTGGGAACCTCACTGGCTCTTTGTGGTCCCAAGGAATCTACACCAAGTGCTTCTTTTCCTTGCTTCCTGGCCACAGAGAGGATCCTGGGATAAGTCTGTGACCCCTATCCTCCCTCCCCTCCATCCTGTCTCCGGGCCATTATATGGATACGTGGAAGACGTATCTCCATTTCCCCCTCCTCTCAGTTTTCAGATGGGGGACTATTTAGACCCACCCTCACTCATTGGACAGGCATTTTCTTCTAGGCATAGGCTGTTGAGGTCAGCTTCACCTCGACCAATTCCCTGGTGAACAACTCTTAACTTATGTGTTTAAAATAACTTAGCGGGGGGTGCCTGGGTGGCTCAGTCATTAAGCATCTGCCTTCGGCTCAGGTCATGATCCCAGGGTCCTGGGATGGAGCCCCACATTGGGCTTGCTGCTCAGCGGGAAGCCTGCTTCTCCCTCTCCCACTCCACCTGCTTGTGTTCCCTCTCTCTCTGTCAAAATGAATAAATAAAATCTTAAAAAAAAAACTGAGCAGGATGGGGTGCCTGGGTGGCTCAGTCCATTGAGCATACAATTCTTGACTTTGGCTCAGGTCATGATCTTAGGATCATGGTCTCAGGGTTGTGAGATCAAGCCCCATGTCAGGCTCCGTGCTGGGCATGGAGCCTGCTTAAGATTATCCCTCTCTCAGGAGACAAACCACAAGAGACTTCTTAAGCATAGGAAAGAAACAGGCTTGCTGGAGGGGAGGTGGGGGGGGCATGGGGTGACTGGGTGGTGGGCATGAAGGAGGGCACGTGATGGAATGAGCACAGGTGTTGTATGCAACTGATGAATCACTTAACTCTAAAACTAATAATACACTATATTGTTAATTAATTGAACTTAAAATTAAAAAAAAGGAAACCCCCCCAAAATTATCCCTCTCTCTGCTCCACACCCCCCACCAAGCACTCTCTCTCTAAAATTAAATAAATAAATAATAAATTTAAAATAACTTAGCGGTGTACCTGGGTAGCTCAGTCGGTTAAGCATCCAACTCTTGATTTGGCTTGGGTCATGATCTCTGGGTCGTGAGATCGAGCCCTGTGTCATGCACTGTGCTGGGTGTGGAGCCTACTCAAGGGTCTCTCTCTCCCTCTCCCTCTGCCCTCCTTTCCCTGTGTGTGCGCGCTTTCTCTCTCTCTTAAAATAAAATAAGATAAGATAAAATAAAATAACTTAGCAATAGTTCTTCCCTTCTCCCCTTCCCACATAATCAAGATGATCGTAAGCATTCATTTAACAGGTATTTTAACAAATATTTACTCAGTGTCCACTATGTACTAGTTCAGTTCCAGGAACTGAGGATATAGTAGCAAAGACAGAAAGTTCCTGCACTCATGGAGCTGATCTTCTAGTGAGGGAGACAGACAACAATAAATATAGTGTTGGGTAGTGATACATGCTCTGAAAAAAATCAAGCAGGCTAAGTAGATTTGGGTGGGGGACTATTCTATATAGGATAGTCTGAGAAGACCTCTCTCTTAAGGTGACATTTGAGAGATCTGAATTAAATATGGGTGATGAGTATTTCAGACTAAGTGAATAGCAAGTACAAAGGCCCTGAGGCAGGAAGAAATAAGCAAATTCCGAGAATAGCAATTAGGTTAGTGTGGCTAAAGCAGGTAGAACATGGTAGAGAGTGACAGATGTGGGTGGGGAAGAGAGATAGGAACCAATTAGATAGGGCTCCTACACATTTGGATTTTGTTTTGAATAAAATGGCACGATCTGATTTATGCTTACAAAGATCTTCCTAGATGCCGTTTGGAGAACAGACTGGAGAGGGGACAGGGAGGAGGTGAAAGCAGCGTGACCAATTAGGAAGCTACCATTATAACCCAGGCCAAGATGGTGGTAGCTTGGTCCAAGACAGTTATAGCAGAATTAGTAAGTGGTTAATTCTGATGATTTAAATGTAGTACTGACAAGGCTTGCTGAGGGACTGGAAATGGCATTTTAGCATAAGAGAGGCACATCAAGGACACCTTTTAGGCTTTGGCTTGAGGAACTGGCTGAACAGTGGTGCCATTCTCTGAGGTAGGTTAAGAATGAGAGTGGGGTATAGTATAGGGAGTAGGTTGTCAGGGGGCAGGATGTATTGAGTTTGAGATGCCGGTAAGATAGGCACTTGAAAATAAGTCTGAAGATCTAGGCTAGAGATAGAAATTCTTCAGTCATCAGCAGATTATTATAAATTACTTCTAGGGAGTGTGTAGACAGAAAAGAACATCATGTGCTATATTCTGAGGCCTTGGACAACTGCAGAAGGCAGAAATTTTGTATCATTTATATACAGATATTATAAATCACTCCTAGGGAGTCTGAACGGACAGAAAAGAGCATCATGGACTATGGCCTGGGGCCTTCAACAACTGGAGAAGAGGAGGAGAAGCCCACAAGGGAGACAGAGGAGTGACTAGTGAAGTGAGGAAGATCAGGAAAGCCTGGTGTCCAGGGCCAAGTGAGGAAAGTATTCTATATGATCACAGCTGAGAGTCAACTCCTGAGCCTCAGTTTTCTCATCTGCGAAATGGAGATAGTAACAAGAACCTACATGAAAGTGTTGTTAGGATTGAGACGATGCATATAAAGCAGTTAGGCTTGTGCTTGACTGGCATATAGTAAACTCCCAAGCTATGCTAGTTATCGCTATCATTCCCTCCACTTCAGTTGGCTGCCAGAGCCCTCAGCTTCCCCATCCACATAAATAACAGCAGTTCCGTGAGTCCTTCTCAGGGGTGAGGATTGCTCACTAGGCATCAGGCGTGCCTGAAGAGTGGCCTCTGGGTCAAATTTGAACCGAGCGACTGCAGTGCCTAAGCCTCCCACCCAGACATGCAAATCAACCAGGGGCAAATATGTGGTAAATAAAGGTTTTGGAGCCAGAATTCTACCTCTGTCTCTCACTAGCTGTGGGATCTCAGGTAAGCTTAACCTTCCTGAGCCTTGAATTCTTTTATCTGTGAGATAGGGACAATTCCTACTTCCTGGGATTGTGTCTGAGCTCACGTAAACTGTAAACAAAGCTGGCTGCTCTCCTGCGGGCCAGCAAGGGAGTTAGAGACTCCTTGCCACCCTCTCACTCAAAGCACGTATCCTCCAGGGGCGGGATGCACTAGAAGAGGCACCCACACATCCAAAACCGAGCTGGGTGGGCCTCGGAGATGCCCTGGCTGCCGTAGGCTGAGCCAGACAAGCGGAGACTCGTGCCCTTTCCCGCGGCGAGAGGGTGAGCGGCGCCTCCTTGCTGGGCCCCCGCATTGGTAGAGGAGTCTAGCCCCGCCAAGGTAGGGGCATCGAAGGTCCCAGGGAATCCCTCCGCGGCTGTCCCGCCTCCTTCCCGGTGTTGAAGCCCGTTTCCTGGACAACCGTTCCCCATCCCTCTTCCGGACCCAATCAGGCCTACCGAGGCGCCCTAGGGGGAGCGCCGTCGCGGCCCCCCTCAACACCTCAAGTCAACGACCAGCCGGCTCTCTGCGCCGCCGCGCTGTAGGCCCAGGCCCATACCCCAGCCCTTCAGCACCGCAGGAAGTGGCGGCGCCTCTCGAGGGCAGTCAGGAGGAGGCGAAGGAAGCGGAGGAGGCGCGGCTCGGTAGCGACCGAAGCCACACGGCGGAGGGCTCGGGAGGAGGTCGGTGTGGGAACCCGAGCGCGCTGCGCTGAGCTCCCGAGCTGCCAGCCGCCCTCGGGACGGTTCCGCCCCCTTCAGCCCCCTCCCGAGTCCCCGCCCGCGCGTCGCGGCTCCGCCCCAGAGGCCCCACCCTCCCGCTCGAGCCCCGAAAACCCAGCTCCAACCGGCGGCCCCGCCCCCGCCCGCGCCCCCGCCCGCGCCTCGGGCGCACTTCTGGTCACTGAGCGGCCGCGCTGGCCGGAGTCTCCGAATTCCGCCGCCTGCCAGCTGGGGCAGCGCTCCCTCTTCGCTTCCCCTGCGGCCCCTCCCCCAAGCGCCGCGGTCGGGCAGCGCCTGGCCGGCGGCCCGCGGGCGGGCCGCCCCTCCCCGCTGTAGCCCACCCGCCTCTTAAAGCGGCGGCGGGAAGATGAGGTTTCGGGAGCCGCTCCTGGGCGGCAGCGCCGCGATGCCGGGCGCATCCCTGCAGCGGGCCTGCCGCCTGCTCGTGGCCGTCTGCGCGCTGCATCTTGGCGTCACCTTCGTCTACTACCTGGCGGGCCGCGACTTGAGCCGCCTGCCTCAGCTGGTCGGAGTCCCAACACCGCTTCAGGGCGGCTCGAACGGCGCCGCCGCGATCGAGCAGCCCTCCGGAGAGCTCCGACCCCGAGGGGCCCCGCTGCTGCCCCCTTTGGACGCTTCCTCCGAGCTGCGCTCAGGTCGCGAGTCCAGCCCAGAGGCAGACTCTCACCCCGGCCCCGGCTCCGCGAGCAACTTGACTTCGGCCCCGGTGCCCTCCACCACAGCGCTGTCGCTGCTCGCATGCCCTGAGGAGTCCCCACTGCTCGGTAAGGACTCGGGGACTTTCCCGAATTTCCTCGGCGGGGTCCCCTGGACGTTCGCCCGTGCCCTCTTCCAGGATATCCAACCTCCCAGTTCCGGATCACCGTCCCTAATCCCAAACAGAGGTTCCGGGCCGGATGGCATGAGAGGGTGGGAGGCGAGTCCTTTTGGATTCACGTTGAAGACTGGGGTGGGGGTGGTACAAGGAAGCCGCGGGGCCCTCTGGCCCCAGGGCCCCAGAACCGGAGGGCTTGGAGACTTCCCTGCTCTGGCTCACGCCTCAAGAAGTTTTGGAGTTTGAGTTTGCTTAGGGCTTGGAGCTGCCTTCGCCCCGCTCACTCTGGTAGGGACCAAGAGGCAGCTCAGAGTAACCCACTCCAGTCTGGGAAACTGATGATGAGGCCTCCAGTGGGGAAGGAAATTGACCTCCCAGTTCACATCCAGTTCACGTATCTTGTCTTTCCCTAGAACCACTCTCTCCTGAGTGGGTTAACTTTTCGTGAGCTTTTGGGCAAGTGACTTGTTAACTTCTGGTTTTTCATCAGTTAAATGGGGAAGATAAACGGTACCTAAGTCAGGGTTGTTTTGGAAGATTAGGTGAAACAATGTAAACAAGTATTTACGTTAATGAAGGTAAGCCCTTAATAAATTGTTCCTGTTGTGTCAAGTTCCTCTTCTGTGTAGATCCCTGCCCTGGGGCCTTCCTACCCTGCTTCCTGACCCTGTAGGTTCCCCGAAACCTATGAGAGCAGAGCCCTCCCAAGGACTGAGGGTGTTTGTGGGAGTACAGTGTGTACCCTAGCAGCTGGAGGATTAAACTGTAACCAGTCCACATCCCGTTGTTCCTTCCAGGTAGAAGTTTGGAGTCTCAGGTGTCTTGCCCCGGTGATGGGAAGGGTGGCCACCAGCCTGCCGGGAACTTGAGAGGGTGGGTTTGCGTTCCTCCTGTCCTGAGGACGCTGAGCGGTTCCCTGCCGGCAGAATGTTTCCTTGACCTGTGATCCACAGGCAGTCAGGCCCAGGGCAGCCACAGGTTGTTCCCAAGATAATCATACCGGTGGCTGCTCATTTTTTAATGCCAGAGTTTAGAGATTGTTGTTCTAAGTGAGGGGCCCTGGCAGGAGGGCAGGCATCCTGCCAGTAGGAACTCTGTCACTCTCCCGCAAAGCCCTGGCAGAGCAGGCCTTCTACATGCTCTTGCTCAATTTCTCCAGTAATTACTTCAGTATTTGCATATCAAGTTTAGGAGGAAACTCTTGGAATTGGTCAGACATGAATTGTGGAAATAAGGGGACTTTTTTTTTTTTAAAGCAGAAAATTGAATCCCTGTGGACTTGGTGGTTAGTCTGAGAAGCAGACTAGTCTTATAAAATAAAGTTGAATATTTGCCCTGCTGTTAAGTGTCTGGCCTCAAGCATCTTACAGAGTTTCTCACAGTCTGTGTCTTGTATGTAAAATGGGGGTGTTGGTGCTTAACTCAGGGTTATTTTTAGGGCTAAGTGAGATTGCGTACATTAAGTACATGGCAAATAGGACTTGGGACTTGAGTTCCATTTTCTCAGACTCCTGTGGAGATGGCTCTGAACAGCAGAGAGAAAGGGGGAAGAGAGAGGTAAGTCCCCAGAACCCAGAGAGGCCAGTTTTCGTCTTTTTGTTTTTAATTGTTGCCTAGACGTTTATGCAGGAAAAAAGAGAAATTAGCAAATTAAAGTGCCCCAAAGTTCATTAGATTGGTATTTGAGGTATAAGGTCTTCTCAATGAAGTGAGAGGGCCCATGGTGCTTTGTTTTTGTTTTGCGACGGTGTGGTGACCGGTTACTGTTATTTCTGAGTTGAATTTTGAATTGGCAGCGTGAAGGCACTTCCTGAGAGATAACATTTGGAGGGCGAGGAGAGGCCCTGGGTCTTCTCTAGCTTGGCCACCTTAATGTGACGCGCATGGAACCATGATGTTTGGGCTGCTGCTGTGGAGGTCCAACAAAGTGAAGGTGGTGGGTTTTTCTTCATTTTAATTGAGCCCTTAGGTTTGAGTGGTTGGGTCAGCTCTCTGAATGGGGGCTCCTGGCTGAGAGGGGGTCTCGAGGAGGCTGAAAGTCTCTCTAGGAGTGTGTGGGTTGGGGGGAGTTGAGCCCATCTGTTCATCTGAGCAGGTGTCAACCAAAGCCCTTGCAGGTTGGTTTTGAGGTTGATGGGAGAAAGCATCCGTGGGGTTTAGAACTGCGGCCTTTTCACTACTTGCACTTCCTTTCCCTGACTTGGCTCTACTTTCTGGTGTCCAGGGGTCTGGGCCAGACACTATGATAAGCTCCTCTTTGGTATGTGGAGGGCAATGGGCATGCCCTTCCCTGGAGGAGCCAGGCACCAGACCAGGCTGTTGATGGTGTCTGTTTGATCTCTCATGGGTTGTCAGAGCCTTGGATAGACTTCAGACAGACTTGGGCTTGGATCCTGCCTCTGTCTAGTCTTTGTGACATAAGGCAGGTTGCGGTGTGTTGAGCCATTGTAGGCCCTGCCTCAGGATCCCCCGTGGGCTAGTGGGAGGCCTTCAGGAGTAGGGACTGCAGGGGGGGAGGTGGGCCTTTCCTGAGTATTCCTCCAAGTTCCCTGGGGAGTTCTCCCAGTAAGTTCAGGCCTGCAGGCACTGTCCTCTGGTCCCTCAGGCTGTGCAGCATCTAGTCCACATCACAAGGCTCCCTTTCCTGGCTGCCTGGGTATTCGACCTGGGAGGAGCAGCGGTCTTGCATTTTCTTTTCCTGGAATGTTTGTCTCTGCTCAGATTTGGTGGCAACTCAACGTGACTTGACTGGTGCTGGCCTTGGCACTGCCAGCCCAGAGAGGGGCTAGGTGGAAGGTGGGCAGGACCTCAGGTTGGGCTGGTTAGGGGAGGCAGGACTGACCTGCGGGCTCAACTGGGGCCTGGTACAGCTGGTACAGTCCCCTCAAGGGTGTATGGGGTGTGGGGGGTGAGTATAGGACTGCTTAAACCCAGAGGCTTCCTTTGCCCATCTATGCTTTGAAGAGATCCTCTTCATTTGTTCAAATGAGGACTCTAATCTAGAGGTGGGCACCAGAGAGCCATGGGCACCTAGACCAGCAAACAGCCACCATAGGTAGCCAGGGTCCTGGGAGAGCACTTGTCCATGAGTCAACTTCCCCAGCTTTTGTGGGGGCTGTCAACCAAGCTTCTGTAGTGGTTTGTGCCCTTGGGAAGACAAAGCACTTTCTGGGTCCCTGCTGGCTCTCAGCTCTCAGGTGTTTTTCCACCAGCATGCTATCCCCCTCTCCCCCCTTCTCACATATTCACACATGGGGACACAAGCAGGCTGCCCAGGACGAAATGTACTTTGAGGACATCTGTCCCAGCCCTCAGCTTGGGGAAAGGCTCTCTCTCCCCTTTGAGTCTTGGAGCCTCATCACTTTCTGGCCTGGGGTAGAGCCTCATCCTCAGAGTTGGGGAAGGCACGGGGAGCTTCCCCTTGTCCAGGTCTTTAAATTTGGGAGATTACGTAGCTAGTACTTTAAACTAGTTTGTCCTGTTGTTTTCCTCGGGAAAATAGTTTATTGGCAAATACAAAGATACACCTTCTTGTCTAACAGTCTGAGATTGAGAAATACCCTCTATGACTATTGGGCTTGCTTCCTTCCACTCAGCCTGATGGTGGCAGGAGTGATTCCTACCTGTTGCAATCTGTCCGAGACTCTGAGCAAGCATGGGCCAGGTGGACACTCCCTGACTATGACATACATAGTCATATGTGGGATTGGATTCAAACTGCAGCATCTTGGACCCATAGCATCCCAGGATGGGACTGTCTAGTTCCCTGGCCCCATCCCTCATTGTGCTGGGGCTGGAACTTGGGTATCCTGCTTCCCAGCCCAGTGCTCTTCCTTGAGGTTATTGCCCAGTAGACACCTAGTGCAGAGGCTCGGAGCAGGCCAATATGACCTAGAATTTGAGAGGATCCTTGCTAGGTATGTCTGTGTGTCCACCTGAAAGCTGGCCTGGACATCCTTGATGGCTAAGACATCTGGTAACTTCATTCATTTAGTTCCCACAATGCACCTGTCCTGTGCTGGGTACTAGAGCTGCAAGGAGGAAGATGACACAATGCCTCTTCTTTAAGAACTCACAGTCCAGGCAGTGGAGGCATAATTAAACTGTGCTGATGTCATTTAGGGAAAACTAAAATGTGAGTGTGTTTAGTCTCTCCCTCTCCTATCCATCCCACCTTTTCTTC